AAAAAAAAAAAAAAAAAAAACATTGAACAGATGATTGATTCCAAGAGCAGACTCGCAACTAGTAAGGACACATGGAAAAATCTTCCACCTCGCTCCTAATCAAAGATATAAAAATAAAAAACTATTTTTAGAAGTTTAGAAGATAATGCTATTTCTTAGGATGCAAAGGCACAAGAGCACTGTAATGAACTTTGGTGACTCGAGGGGAAGGGTAGGAGGTGGGTGAAGGCTAAAAGACTGCACACTGGGTCCAGTGTCCATTGCTCGGGTGATGGGTGCACCGCAATCTCTCAAATCAGCACTAAAGAACTTATCCATGTACCCAAATACTGCCTGTTCCCCAAAAACCTATTAAAAACTTTTAAAATATGCTATTTCTTTTTCAATAAATTAATAATAAGGGATGAAGATTTATTAACAGCCTGGTGATTATAGTTAATAATAATATATTATATACTTGAAAATTGCCACGGGAATAGATCGTAAATGTTCTCACCACAAAAACGTAAGTATGTTGGCCGGGCGCGGTGGCTCACACCTATAATCCCAGCACTTTGGGAGGCTGAGGCAGGCGGATCACTTGGGGTCAGGAGTTTGAGACCAGCCTGGCCAACATGGCAAAACCCTGTGTCTACTAAAATACAAAAAATAGCCGGGCATGGTGGTGCACGTCTGTAATCCCACCTACTTGGGAGGCTGAGGCAGGAGAATCACCTGAACCCAGAAAGTAGAGGTTGCAGCGAGCCGAGACAGTGCCCCTGCCTGGGCGACAGAGCAAAACTCCATCTCGACGACAACAACAACTCAATATTTAAAATTGAGATGGTGGCTACACAGGTTCACACATTTGTTAAAACTTCCTAAATTTTATGCTTATACTGGGTGCATTTCACCATATATAGTTTAGATCTCAATAAAGTTGATTTAAAAAATAAAAATAGATAATAAAACAGTCATACCTTTGCTTTGACTATATAATTCCATTTGTAGGAATTAGGCTTATGGGAATAATCACAGCTAAGGACAGTGATTTAAATACAAGAAACTTCAATACAGTATAATACTGGAAAATGGAAACTCCATTTCCATTTTATGTCTTACTGTTTTGTCCAGAACTTCCAAAACATAAGAGTGATGAAGAAGACATCCTTGTTTTTAAAAAATCTCCAGTATATCACCGTAGATCTAAAATTGACGTGTAAGCACATAAGCTAATATAAATTCCAGATGGCTAAAATTTTTAATATAACCATAGATCTCCATACAGAATTGGTTCATTTAATAATATATTAATTGTTAAAGACTCAATTATTAATGATTGTTGTGTATTATTAAGACTAGGAAAATGTAACAGTGCTTAAATGAGAAAAGCAAGATATAAAACTAAAATTTTCAATTGTTTATACTTTGAAACATATCAGTATATTTACAATGGTTATCTCTAGGGGTTAAAATTACAGATCTCTTTTTTTTTTTACATTTTAACTTTTTTTTTTTTTAACAATGTGCAACATTTAATTACATCATTAGAAAAGCACAGAAAATCAAATATTGCATGTTCTCACTTATAAGTGGGAGCTAAATCTTGCATACACATGGCCATAAGGAAGGGAGCAATAGACCCTGGGGACTGGGGACTCCAAAAGGAAGGAGGGAGGGAGGGAGGCAGGGGGACAAGGGCTGAAAAACTTCCTATTGGGCACTGTGTTCACTGTCTGGGTGACAGGGTCAAGAGAAGCTCAAACCTCAGCATCACACAATATACCCTTATAACAAACCTGCACACGTACCTACTGAATGTAAAATAAAAATGTAAAATTTTAAAAAAGAAAAAAAAGAGAAGAATTCTAGATAATACCACAGACAGGACTTTTCTTTCTGTTTTTCAGAGGGAGTCTCACTCTGTCACCCAGGCTGGAGTACAGTGGCACAATCTTGGCTCACTGCAACCTCAGCCTCCCAGGTTCAAGCAATTCGCCTGTCTCAGCCTCCTGAGCAGCTGGGACTACAGGCACACGCCACCATGCCCGGCTAATTTTTGTATTTTTAGTAGAGACAGGGTTTCACCATATTGGTCAGGAGGCTGAGGTAGGAGGATCACTTGAGCCCAGGAGTTGAAAACTGTAGTGAGCTACGATGGCACCACTATACTCCAGCCTGGATGACAGAGTGAGACTCTCTCTCTTAAAGAGAGAGAGAGAGACAGAGAGAGAGAGAGAGGAGGGAGGGAAGGAAGGAAGGGAGAGAGGGTGGGCGGGAAAAAAATAGAATGGGAGAGAGAGAAAGAAAAAGAAAGAGGAAGGAAGGAAGCGAGAGAGAAAGAGAAAGAGAAAGGAAAGGAAAGGAAAAGACAAGACTCCTTAACACAACCTGACGTGGTGTGTCTGCAACTAATTCTCCAGCCTTTCCTCCCCAGTCAAGTGGGCTTTTATTCATTTATTGAACAGAAAGTCTCTGGGCCCCACCTCCTTCCCTGGTTGGCATTTCAGTTCCCAGGTCCTGGAATGCACTCTCCCATCTTCCCAAGCCCTTCATGGACACCTAATCCTTCAAAATTCAACTCAGTGGCTGGTTACCTCTCCAGGGAAGCTTTCCCTGCCCACCCCACAGGAGCTCCCCCAATCAAATCACATTTTCCTGCTGTCACTATCATAGCACCTTGCATTTGTCCTTTCTAACATGTTTCTGTTCCAATCATGTTCCTGTGTGATTATTTCATTGACATCTATTTCTACCTCTAGACCATAAGCCCCCGGAGAGCAGCCCCAGAATCTGGCTTTGTACTCATCACTCATCGTGTATTCCACGCATTCCCAGCCTACTCTCCGGACATTCAATAAATATTTGTTGAATGAATGTTTCCCTATCTGTAAAATAAGAAGAGCTCACCTAGATTTCAATCCATAAGCCTGGATTCTGGGATCCTCCACTCCTCCCTCCAAAGCCGACTACCCAAAAATCCCAGGAAATTCCAGATTGTATCTTCCTCATTAACATATTACAAACTTGATTATCCTTCAATTCCCTGAGGCTTACTGGGAGCTCCCAGACCCTGGGGATTTGACAGCAGGAGAGAGAGAGGAAATCCTGGTGAGTCACTGAGGGCGACTACTAATTTCGGAGTTTTTGTTTTTTTTGTTTTTTTTTTTTTTTTGAGACAGAGTATGGCTCTGTCACCCAGGCTGGAGTGCAGTGGCGCAATCTCGGCTCACTGCAAGCTCCGCCTCCCTGGTTCACGCCATTCTCCTGCCTCAGCCTCCCAAGTAGCTGGGACTACAGGCGCCCGCCACCACGCCCGGCTAATTTTTTTTTTTTTTTTTTTTGTATTTTTAGTAGAGACGGGGTTTCACCGTGTTAGCCAGGATGGTCTCGATCTCCCGACCTCGTGATCCGCCCGCCTCGGCCTCCCAAAGTGCTGGGATTACAGGCGTGAGCCACCGCGCCCGGCCAATTCCGAGTTTTTTCAAACCACTGCAGCCTCTCCCATTGCTGTGGTAACTGGATGGAAACGCATCTAGCAAGAGAAAATGTACATAAGGATTATCTCCCTCCCTCCTCTAGGTTTCTGCAGGTGAGAAGATGTCATGATAGAATAACGAACATCTCCTATGAGACTGGCACTATGCTCTACATTCGAACTCACTTAATACAACCACCCTATACCAAGGTAGGTACCACTATGGTTCTCTATTAAAGATGAAGAAAGTTGCAGCACAGACACATCTGGTGACCTGCTCAAGGTCACAACACTCCAGAGACCTTGCTCTTAACCACCATACCACACTGCCTCTTTCTTAAAAAGCAAATATCAGCAAAAAGAGACATTTAGTGACAACCATGTGTCCCACCGGCTGCTGCAGAACAGTGCTTCGCTAATGGAGGCAGGAGGGAGGAAGGTGGGGGTTGGCATCTCACGGGTCACATGGCAAACACTGCTTTCTCAGGCTGAAACTCAAGAGCGGTGATGCTTGTGGAATGAACACTGACAGGTTCCCCCTCCTCCAAGAACAATCACTAGTCTGTAGGGAGCTTCAGTTCTCTGCCCAGAGCTGCGGGTTTCTTTTTTTTTTTTTTCCAGGAAGTAAGCCATGTGCATCAATTATCAGGAACCCTTTAATTCAACTGGGACCCCAAACACACACCCCGCTTTAACCCCGGGTGATGTGATACAAACAATTTACAACGCCTCAAGACCCTGCAGCGTCCCGAGTAAGTAGACCGTGATCTAGCAGACAATAAAATGCAAGCCCGTACTCATATATTGTAGGGGATTGAATGCGCCTTAAACAAAAGGATGCTATCTCCAAAATAGCACGCTCGCTGCCTTTGCTGGGCACTCAGCACGGCACCTGGCCTGCAGGTTGTCAGATTCCACCGGGCTTAGAATAAAATCCAAACTCTTTACCGTTGCCTCCTACGTCTTACATGATCTGGCGAAACTCATCTGTCTCCTAATCGCCAACGCCACTGGTTTTCTTTCCATATCCCCAGGACTCAGCTCCTTTGGGTCTATGGCAATTGTACTTGCTGTTCCCCCTGCCTGCATCAGTCCTAGAGCTTGCCCTGAACGCATCCTTCTCATCATTCAGATCTCAACGCAAGCATCACCTCCTTCCCCTGAGGCCTTGGCCTTTCAACGTCCCATTCCCCACCCCACATCATTCCAGACTGGAAGCTCTAAAGCGGGCGTTAGAACACTGTCCGGCCCTCAAGCCTTCAATACTTCAACAAATGCTTGTTGAATCCAAACACTCTGATTACCCTTCAATCTGCCAGCTCACCTCACTCCCTCTCAAAATACCTAGGAGAATTCATTTATAAAGAAAACATAAGCAAGCGACAGCGTAACACATCGACTCCAAACAAAGCCGGTAATCCGGGGCTGAACTGGTCAATGGCATCTAAAGAAGGCCCCAAGAAAACCCCTTCCTGATCGTGCACCCACTTTTCAAGAGGCGAAACCAGGGGGCCAGGGCGGCCGCCGGCGCAGCGCTGCCTACCTTGAACTCCGCGGAAAGTTGGGGCGTGTATTCGCGAGTCCAGAGCGCGCGCACCAGCGCCGCCAGCTGCTCGGTGACCTCGGCGCGGCCTGGCGCCGCCCGGTAGCGCCCCAGCGCCAGGAACTCAGCCAGCAGGTCGGTGTTGCTGAGACACTGCACCACGGCGTTCATGAAACAGGTGTTGCCGTGGTTCTTCAAGCCCTGAGCGCCCGGCGGCCGCGCCCCATCGCCGGCGGGGAGCTGGAGCTGGGGCTGGGGTCCGGGCGGGCGCTCCTCCCCGGGGCTCCCGGGGGCCGCTGGAGCCGGGCCCGGGGCGCAGGCGAAGCCCCCCTCACCGTCGCCATCGCAATATCCCGGCTGGGGCCGGGGCGGCGAGTCCCCGGGGCGGGAGCGGCTGCCCAGTGCCAGCAGGAAGCGGCTGAACAGGCGGCGCAGGGAGCGGCGGCGGCGGGGCCGGGGCGCGGGCGGTCCCCCTCCTGCCGCGTCCCCAGGGCCCGGGTCCATGGCTGCCGCCGGCGCAGCTCCAGGCGCGGAGCCCCCGGGCCCGAGGCGGACGAGCGGCCAGCAGGCCCTACAGTTTCGCTAAGGCGCCTGGTGCCGGCTACCTGCGGGCCAGGTGTGCGGGGACGGGGCGGAGGCGGAGCCAAGGGCGGGGCAGCCCCGCCCCGCGCGGGAATCCGGCCGCACGACCAGCCCCCTGCAGGGCAGCGCGGGGCCACCCCTACCCCTGCCTGGTGCCGCCCCCGCGGCGCTGACTGGGAGTCGTCGTGGTCGGGTTCCCCACCCTTCCTTACCTCGTAAACCGACAGAGCTGGGTTTCGCCTCTGCTGCTGTTCCTCGAGCAGCCTTCGAGCAGTGGAAATTATGGAGGAATGAACATTCTGAAAGCGCCTAGTAAATGGCAAAGGCCTGGCTACTGCAGGAAGAAAAGGGCAAGGCAGGCATCTCCAGAGCACAGCCTCGGGCGTGGTGAGAGGCGCGCGCTGGGCGCTGTGTGGGGGTGGGGAGCGCTTTTGTGCACCGCTGGTTCCTCCGCAGGCTCAGGTGTGTGCGGACAGGTGTCGCCACCTCCTTTCAGACCGTCTGCCCTTTTAGGGGAGGCAGAGCCTGTGCCTGCACCCGCCCACTCGGGACCCGAACTGGGAGCCACGTGTTGCCCTGTTAAAAAAAAAAAAAAAAAAAAGCCCCCGAGTGGTTGTGGTTTGCATTTTTTACACCACAGATTGGGTTAGAATCATTTTCCAAACACTTGTGAGACTTGATCATCCTTGCTTTAATCGGCAAGGAAGGGGGCTCAGAGAGGTTATCGCAACGTAGGGAGGCCACCCGACCCGTAAGCAGGGAAACCGGAACTCGACCTGGATCTCTGGACTGCCGAGTTCAGGCCCTTTCCAACCTCAGTATTTGCTTACCAGGAAGTTTTCAGGCTCTCAGGCGCGCCCCCTACGCGGTTTCTGGTTCACTCCTTAACGCACAATCCTTGCTGAATGATTGCCCAATCAGAATTAGTTTGGCCTTGTCCCGCCCTTGATTCCCTGGGTAACCCTGGGCCCCCCGCCCCCTCTTGATCCCATGCAACTGTCAGGTTTATAATTAATCTGGCAAGATCTTGCAAAATGAGTTTCTGGTCAATTTCTAGCTCAGAAAGAGATCAGCACCATGTGAGACGCAGTATTCTAACGCCCTGAAATGTTACTTGTTGTTTAATAAGTGATAATCATTTATTAAATATTCTTGATCCTGGCCGGACTTGGTGGCTTACACCTGTAATCCCAGCAGCACCTTGGGAGGCGGAGATGGGCAGATCACTTGACGTCAGGAGTTCGAGACCAGCCTGGCCAACATGGTGAAACCACGTCTCTACCAAAAATACAAAAATTAGCCGGGCGTGGTGGTGCATGCCTGTAATCCCAGCTACTTAGGAGGCTGAAGCAGGAGAATCGCTTGATTCAGTGAGGGGAGATCGCGCCATTGCACTCCAGTCCGGCGACAAGAGCTAAACTCCGTCTCCAAAAAAAAAAAAAGTGTTGATCTTTCAAACCGGGTTGCAGCAGTTACCTCATGCAAAAAAAGCAGCATTACTTAAAGGATAAATAACATGCTTAAAACATCAGACTGTACTGTGAATCGGAGACTTGTGTTCTGGAAAATGCCATTATTTACCCCTCTCTGCAAAAAGATACCCGGTTGGCTGATTAATACACAAGGACATAAGGTCCATTTCATCACCCTTCTGGTGGAAAGCACGGAAGAAAGATGTAATGGCCAACTCCAACAAAGCATCTCTGTAATTTCATCTTTCTTTGGTCATTGTCCTGAGATCCCAACACCACACATTTTCTTTGGGAAAGCATGCATGTTTCACTCTCTACCCTGTCAGGAATTCTGCCGATGCTTTAGTACATTAGTCACTTAATTCTCACAATAACCTTTTGAGCAGGAACTTACTCTTGCTTGACAAAAGAGAAAATTGTGGCTCAGAATTTTTAAGAAGCCTGCCCAAGATCTGGATTTAAATCTGAGTCTAGTCCCGTATAGCTTGACCAATGAAATGACAATGAAGAAGGCAATTCACTTTGCCTTATTTTTACAGGATAATAGCAATGCTGTCTGTGCACAGATCAGGAGGAAGGTCTGTGGGTTTTGCAGAGTTGCAGACAACAAATTATAACAGAAAACCGACAACTGAGAATTTATTCAAAATGTAAGAAGTTCTAATTAGAGTCTGCACAAATTACTCTTGAACATATTTCAATTTTAATATACAATGTAGGAATACAAAATGCATTCTATAAAGAAAAAAAAGTTTGGACTCAAGAACAAAAACAGAGCTGTGAGAAATGAAGACAAGTGTTGGAGTTATCTAAAATCGGTCTTCAACAGGACTGTGTGCAACGCCGAGGCCCAGAGACATCTCATCAGCTTCAAGAGGTATATGGGTACTTCCATCGCAAAATGGCCCCGTCGGCACTTACGCTAACGATATATTGATTTCCTGGACTTATGCGGATGCGTGTGATGTTGCCACTGTGTCCCACCCCAACGTGAGTCACTTCACCCTCATTATAATCCCAAACTTTGACCAGATGGTCATTTCCACCTGAAAAAGATAAACACGGATATGGCATTGCTGCAATAGAAGAGAGAAATAACCCTGATTTCAAATAACTGGATCGTTTTCAACACGGTCCCCATGTATCTATCTTTGTAATAACACTTTTACTTGATTATAAAAATCTGTTGCAGTAAGTTTGAAGGGGAGGGGGAAATACAGAGGGGTAAAAGCACATTTTCATCCCATTACCCAGAAATAACCACTAGAAAAATGTTGACTTAGTTCCTTCCAGTCTTTTCTCTGTAAGTATACTGGTATACATATATATCATATATGTGATTGGAATCACACTGTGTCTAGTTTGATATCTGCCTTATAGTCAATGTATTTGTGAAACTTAATTCATTTAGTGCATTTATTTATTATTTATTTATTTATTTATTTATTTATTTATTTATTTTGAGACGGAGTCTCTGTCGCCCAGGCTGGAGTGGAGTGGCGTGATCTCAGTTCACTGCAGCCTCCGCCTCCTGGGCTCAAGCCATTCTCCTGTCTCAGCCTCCTGAGTAGCTGGGATTATAGGTACACACCACCATGCCCAGCTAATTTTGTGTATTTTTAGTAGAGACGGGGTTTCACCATGTTGGCCAGGCTGGTCTCGAACTCCTGACCCCAGGTGATCCACCTGCCTCGGCCCCCGAAAGTGCTGGGATTACAGGCATGAGCCACCATGCCCGGCCGCATTTATTTGTTAATATCCTGATGAATCAAAGAGCTTGGCAGGAAATGATAATGATGTTCCAATCGGCGTGTTTGGGCGGTAAATGCCTCTTTGAAATACTGGTTAATTCATTTGTTTTGGTGGGGAGGGCATCGCATCATGCAATAATAAAGTGGAATTAACAGACACATTTAAGACTTCAGAAGGATGCTGGACAGCCCAGGCCATTTAAAGGCTGCATTTCTGTTATCAATGCCTACCACAAAAAGCAAGCCTAGCAACCTAAGTCTTAGCCTTTATTTGCACCCTTAAGGCTCTTGTGCAAATGTTTCCCCTCATTGAAATGTGACTTCTGGATTTTTCTTTCTCCGCTGCATTGGCTGCAGTATTGGTTGCAGTCTGATTCTAACCAAGTTGCCTTGAGACCCTTTTGTGGTCTTTTCCGATTCCCTCTGGCCTGGGAGTTCCTTCCATGTCCTCGTCTAAATAAGCCAGGCTTGGCTTTTTCCTATCCCAGGACTAACCTGTGACAAAGTGCACCCCTTCCTGTGTGATATCCATGCCATTTATCGACCCAGACAGGGAACCTTCCAATTCTCTGATTACTGTCCCATCAAATACTTCCCAGTAAGCAATCTGGAATTCAGGAAAGAAGCATTAAGCAGGACTCAGCTCAGGAGAGTCATCCATGCACATGCTAACAAAAGATGGCTCTACTTTATATAGAAGGGAGCAAAAATACACCACGGGATGATACTGGCTGAAATTATAAATAGGCTACAGCAGGGGGTGGCAAAACCATTTTAATATTTTTAGTATTGGTTTTAAATTTGCATTCTATTTAAAGAGATGTTGATGTGCTGATAAACCTGGATTAAGGCAGAAAGGGCTTTTGATAAGACTAAGCAGATTGAGCCTGAAGCAAGCTGCAAAAGAAAGAACAGCCTCTGCATCCACAGCTAAGCTTCAGGCCTGGAGGGAGGAAAAGCATTTTCTTCCTTCCCACTGGGAGATGAGCACTCCGCACTCCCCAGAGTTCTAGAGACTGGGCCCTCCCTCTTCCTCACCCCACCCTTATTCCCAACTTTCCCTTCTGCTCCAAAGCACTGAGATATTCCACAGGGTGGAGTTTAAAGAGGAACTGGTAACCTTGGTTCCCTGTTGGGGAGAACTCCCTTAGGGGTGGAGAGACAGGGTGCCTAAAGGAGGGTAATTTTTTTCCTGAATATACTGCCTTTGTACCTTGAACTTTGTGAATGCACAATCTATTCAAAATTTAAATGTCCTTCTCAGGAAAGAAAGCTTCTATTTATGATAGCAAAGACAGGGAATGAACCGAAATGCCCATCAATGATAGACTGCATAAGGAAAATGTGATAGAGCCAGCCGGGTCCAGCAGCTCACATCTGTAATCCCAGCACTTTGAGAAGCTGAGTTGGGCCCGTTGCTTGAGGTCAGGAATACGAGACCAGCCTAGGCAATATGGGGAAATTTTTTAGTACACAGCCATGTGTACTAAAAATGCAAAGATTAGCTGGATGTGGTGGCACACACCTGTAGTGCCAGCTACTTGGGAGGGTGAGGCATGAGAATCACTTGCGCCCAGGAGGTGGAGGTTGCAGGAGGTTGCAGTGAGCCGAGATTGTGCCACTGCACTCCAGCCTGGGCGGCAAAGTGAGACTCTGTCTCAAAAAAAAAAAAAAAAACAGAATAAACTTAAGAAAATGTGGCACATATATACCACGGAATACTATGCAGCCATAAAAAGGGACAAGATCACATCCTTTTGCAGCGACATGGATGGCGTTGGAAGCCATTATCCCCAGCAAACTAATGCAGGAACAGAAAACCAAACACCACCTGTTCTCACTTACAAATGGAAGCTGAACAATGAAAACACATGGACACATGGGGGTAAATAACACGCTCTGGGCACCTGTCGGGGGGTGGTTGGGGAGTGGAAGAGCATCAGGAAGAATAGCTAATGCATGCAGGGTTTAATACCGAGGTGATGGGATGGTCTCTGCAGCAAACCACCATGGCACATGTTTACCTATGGAACAAACCTGCACATCCTGCGCATGAACTTAAAATAAGGTTGAAGAAAAAAAAAGAAAAGGAAAAAAACAAAAAACAAAAAGAGTGCTTGACCAGGAATCAGGAGTGCAAACTTGCATGTGCATTTCATTCATTTCTCATTGCTTCATGTCGGAAACGTGCTGTGTTCCAGTCACCAGTCACTATGCCAGGAGTCTGTATTCCTCTGAATCTAGCTAGACATTGTGCATACTATTTCTTTTTAATTTTTTTCTTTTGCTTTGTAATGTCTGTTGATGCTTGATCATGTTAACAAAAAAATTCTGATTTCATAGTAAACGCCTAAAGAGATAGAAAACCATGCCAGAGCCCATGTTTCTCAGGAATCACACCCACAGAAGTAGTTGAAACTTGACTGCCTGCCTTCCCAGCCAAAGAAGCCAAACTGATACTCTTCTGGGCAGCCCTAGTAGGGCTCCATCTTACCGGAGTGTCCTCTGCCAGAGATGCCCTTCCCTGAGGTCTAGGCATTGGGTGGGTCCTTCTGTCGTTCAGGCCTCAGCTCAGAGGCTGTTCCTTAAGGAGGCCTTCACCCACTACTCTAGCTGAAGGAGCTTCCCCCAGCCCACCAGTAT